GCATGGGCAGGGGAGAAATGCACTCCTCCCCCACACTACCCATCAACACTGGAGGCAGGTGGGAGAGGTGACGCTGTGGTCATAAGAGTGGGAGAGCTATCCCTGACCCCCACCAGCTGCAACACTCTGGAGAGCAGGTCCTGCATCTCACCAGGGCAACACAATAGAGCCAATACTATTAGTGCAGGTGTGGGTGAGCCAGCCAGAAATCATGAGCATGGGAGAGTTGTCCCCATTTCCCATCTGGCAGACCAGACCCAGGGTTGTGACTTGGCCTGCCCCAACATCCACCCCATCTATGATCTACTGGAGCATGTGAAGGGACCTGACCTACAGACTCAAAGTTGCAGGATCTCCACAACACAGGGCAGCAGAGAGATATCCATGAAGAGTCCTAGTGGGGGCCTAGCATCGATAACGTAGTGGAGACCAGAGGTCTCGAACCAGACCAATGACTCTTTGCAATGAACACCTGCAAGTAGACATGTATGGACAAAGGGGTATATGGCATGACTTATTGGGTCACACTGCAGCTTCCATGATGAGATTTTTTTCATTTTATTTCCTTCCTTTTTATCTCTTGAATTTTGTTTTGTTTGGGGGGGATGCGGGGGTAGAGGGCAGATTCGAGGATGGGGAATGAATGGGATCAAGATATATGATTTGAAAGACACATAGAATAAATTTTAAAATGTGAACACTGGTTCATACTAATGGCACTCAACATTGGCTGTTCACTAGAATCACCTAGGTATTTTCTGGGTGTGTCTATGCCCAACCGTAGCCCTGACGTTAGACTCTCTGGAGGTGTGGCCCAGGCATCTGTGGTAACAAAGCTTCCCATGTGATGCCATTATACAGCTGAACTTTTTATCAATCTAGATGATATGTAGACTGTCACTGCCTTAAATGTGATCCTCCAGCAAACAACATGAGTGTCTTTTAGAAGCTTTTGTTTTGTTTTGTTTGTTTGTTTTTTGTTTTTGTTTTTCGAGACAGGGTTTCTCTGTGTAGTTTTGGTGCCTATCCTGGATCTTGCTCTGTAGACCAGGCTGGCCTCGAACTCACAGAGATTCTCCTGGCTCTGCCTCCCCAGTGCTGGGATTAAAGGCGTGTGCCACTGCCACCTGTCGTTTTTAAAAGCTTTTTATAAAGCATTTTGGGCTTTATCCCCACCCCACCCCCACCTAACAACAGTATCTGCCTTTCAAGGAGATCCCAAAATCATTTGAATTGACATTGAAGTTTGAAAATACTGGCCTAGGTTCTCTCTCTCTCTCTGTCTCTGTCTCTGTCTCTGTCTCTCTCTCTCTCTCTCTGTGTGTGTGTGTGTGTGTGGGTGTGTGTGTGTGTGTGTTCAGGAAACACAAAAATATTTCATCATACTTGTTCCTCAGAGGGAGCTAAGTGAGAACTAATTAAAAGATACATTCCTACACAAGGCACAGGTGATTTTATGGTATTCTGATCAAAGATGATTTTCCCTTTGTAGAATGGAGTAGAGCCTCCTAAAGATCAGTTGCCAACTTTCTCTTCAAAGTCAGCAGTGCCAGTGTGGTTATTCAAAATACTTGCCTCCAGGTGGCAATTTGAATCTGACATCTCACCTGCCATTACCTCATTTCCAAGTTCCTTCTCTGCTCCTCATATGGCTTGATAGCTCCTTTGTCCAAGCTTCCCGAGAATATAATATTAACAGGTGTGCTGGCTGAGAAGTGTTTGACTTCACTGGAAGTTATCTGTTCAAATGTACACCACCCCCACCCCATTGAGCCTATGGAAGACAACTTTGCTCTGAAAAGTAAAGAAAGGAACAAGGAAGAAAAGAAGGAAGGAAAGAAGAGAGGGAAGGAGGGAGGGAAGGAAGGAGGGTGGGAGGGAAGGGAGGGAGGGAGGAAGGAAGGGTACTGAATTGCCAGAAACTAGAAATTGATGGACAAATATTAATGCAAGATGCTTCTTTGACCTTTATAGTGGAGAGTGTAAGAATATAGGATGAGCCACACATATTAGGCTACTAGTTGGATTAGACTTGTGCAAGAGTTGTCTCTCTGAAGGAATGGGTAGTTGAGTGAAGAATCAGTGTGTGAGTGTTTAGGGGAAAGTGGAAGGGGCAAACACTCATAAATTTCAATTTGACTGAATTTCCAGGCTAGGTATCAGGTAACATGGCATCTTGCTCATGTCCCTCCAGGCCCTGCTTTCCAGTCAGACATCCAATAGCCAGTATCTACAGTCCTTCCCCCTGCCACTCTGCTCTCTGCACAGAAAGCAGAACTCCTAAGATCAGTCCCTTGGTAGATACCGTCAGGCCATAGCTGAATGGGGATGGAGTATAACTACTCCAGCTTCCTCACATTAGGATAAGATCCTTGGAGAACATGGAGACACATGTTCTCAGGATCCTAGAAGCATGAAGGTTAAGTGACGTGATGCACGCCTTATATTGTTGTGGTGGAATATAATTGAAGATGTGTTACATTCATTTATGCTGTGGAATATTTATTTAATGATGCAAAGATGCGCTGCATTCTTTTATGTTGCATTTGTTTAATTCTGTGAAGCTGTGTTACTTTGCCTGCCTAAAACATCTGATTGGTCTACTAAAGAGCTGAACAGTCCATAGCTATGGGAGGGATAGGCAGGGCTGCCAGGCAGAGAGAATAAATAGAAAGAGAAAAAGAGAAGAGGGGGGAACAAGAAAAGGAGAAGGAGAGGAGGATGCCAGGGTGCAGCCATCCAGCCACACAACTCGACATGGAATAAGAAGGAAAGGAATGTATGTAGAATAAAGAAAGGTAAAAAGCCCAGAGGTAAAACATAGTTAAAGAAAAATGAAATAATTTAAGTTAGAAAAGCTGGCTAGAAACAAGCCAAGCTAAGGCCTAGCATTTCTAAGTAATAATAAGTCCCCATGTTGGCTGGAGAGATGGCTCAGCAGTTTAGAGCACAGCTGCTCTTCCAGAGGATCCCAACACCCACATGGCAGCTCACAACTGTCTGGAACTACAGTTCCAGGGGATCCAACACCCTCACAACAATGCACATAAAATAAAATTAAATAAGTCCCCATGTATTTACTTGAGAGCTGGGTGATAGACCCTCAAAGAGGAAAGAGAAAAAATCCAACTATGTATTTTTTTCTCCAGTGCCACCAGAACAAACTATTCCCACTCAAATCCTTGTTCCAGTGTCTGCCTATAGGAAAACCCACACCAAGATAAAATACATGTCCCATTTCCTTTAAAATATTTTAGGTATTTAGAGTTTATAACCTGACATGTAGCTATTTCCTCTCAATTGAACCATTCACTCCTACACAGAAGAAAGAGGCTGGTGAAACAAAATTTACAGACTTTGGAAGCTCAGAAGGTTATAAGATTGACAAGTCTCTCCAGGGCTATTAAAAAACAATAAACAAAGCCTGGTGTGGTGGTATTCACCTTTAATACCAGCACTCAAACAGAGGCAGGTAATATTTCTGTGAGTTCTGGGCCAGTCTGGTCTACATAGTTGCAGGTCAGCTGGGATTACATACATAGCAGGAGCCTGTCTCGAAACAAAACAAAATCAGTAAGCAATTGCTGGGAAGAGGAGGCTCTCTTCAGTGGAGCCTCCTGCAAGTTAAACAGAGAGCTTCAGGGATTTGGTTTTTGTTTCAGGGATGGCTTTGAGACTCCTCCCATGCTTCACTAAGTAAACTCAATAAACACAAAGGTGTACCTAGTTAGACTTCAGTGGAAGGTGGAGTTCTTTCTTTGCTCTCTGCTCATCCTCTGGAAGAGCAGCAACTGCTCTTAACCACTGAGCCATCTCTCCAGCCCCATCAAGAAAATGTATTAAAAACAAGAAAAGAATAAATCCCAACAAGTCTCTGTAGCTTGTCTGCGTTGCTGACCTTAGTTTGGAGGCTTCGCGGCTCCATCAGCAGCTCTTCTTTGAGCTGGAGGTCTGCTAGTGGGCCAGGTAGATAGCTGTGTTCTTCTTGCTCATCTTCCTTAGGCCCTCCTTAGGCCATCAAGCTCACTGGCATGGTCTTCTTATAACCCAAATAGAGGCATGAGTGTCTTTAGGCATGGGATTAGTATGGACACACTGCTTCTGCCCAAATATCAACAGCCAAAGCAAATCACTGAAGCAAGTCCAATGTCAAGGTGTGGGGTCCTGGGCTCTGCCTACATGGTGTCAAAGGGTGTGAATGTGGGGATAAGAAGAACCAATATTCCTTCTGCTACAACTCAAAATAAATAACTCATCAGTACCTAAAGGGATTCTCTGAACTCAAAAAGTGTCTTCATTTGTGCCTTTCTGTCTTAGCTTGCTTTCTATTGTTGTGATTAAACACCATGACCAAAAGCAGCTTAGGGAAGGAAAAGGATCTGTTCGGCTTACTCATTCTCACCCATCCTGAAGGAAACGCAAAGCAAGAACTCAAGGCAGAAACCTGGAGGTAGAGGTGATTCAGATACACTGTTTAATGACATTCAGGAACTTTCCTCATACCTTCCAAGACCACCTGTGTAGGGGTAGCACCCCTCACAGTGAGTTGGACCTCCCCACTTCAACCATTTATCAAGAAACTGTCCCCAAAGACTTGCTTATTTGATGGAGGCATTTTCCCATTTAAGGTTCATTCTTCCCAGACAACTAGCTTGTGCCAAGTCGCCTCTAGTTACTAACTACAATATCACATTTAAAGGTGTTGCGAATAACTAGAAGAAGACATTTGTCAAATAATGGAGTTTGAACAAGACTTGGTGACCTTCCACCTCTAACAGCCTATGAGTTGTGTGGAAAAAACCTAGCTGAGCATAAAACCCCCATTAAAATGAGATTGCAGTGTGCTTATGAATTTGCATCTGTGGTCCTGCTTTGACTTCTCAGTTCTCAATCCCTGGAGCTCAGCAGTGCACACTTGTCCCGAGCCTGAAATGCATGACAGTGGGAGGTGTCCCTAAGCAGCCTGCAGTGAATTGAAACTGAAGGGTGGGGGCAGTTAAGGGTGAGAGCAGAGTGTGGAGGCCTCGCGGGTCGTCCCGGAGGCGGGCCCCAGCCAGATGTGCTCGGCCGCCCCGCCCCGCCCTCGCTGGTGCACGGGGCGCTTCACCCAGCGGAGTCTCTTGCCAGGGCGCCCCCAGCCACTCCGCAGCTTCAAACTTTCCCCGGCTCTCCAGTCCGGCTGTCCCCTCGGCGCTGGCTGCCACCGAGCCTGCCAGCTGCGCGCAAAACCAAGGTCCTGGCCAGCGGAGCAGAGAAGAGACTGTGACCCCTCTGTGTCCCAGGTCCTGAGGGGCACAGGACAAGGAACGAGGCCCCACCCCCCGCCAATATGCAGCTGCCCTGGAACCTGGCGCTCCTGCTGTTGCTCTCCTGGGTGGCAGGTGGAGTAGGGACCAGGTGAGTGTCTGCATTGACCCTGTTTCCCTGAGCCTGAACTCTCCTTTTGGAGCCCTTTCTCACTGACCTGCATATGTAAGGGGCACCTAGGTGCTGAGGTTGAGGTGCCCTGGGATGGATTTCACCAGTATGCCAGATCCGAGTGCCCACTGACTTTCTTCCCTGCGCCCCCTGGGTGAGGCTTGGCCTCGGGTGGTCTGTGGCTGATACTGGAGGAGGGAAGCTGGGCGCTCAGACCATGGGTGCATGCGAGCTTCGGTGCTCTTCAGCCACCTCCGGTACAGGCAGATGCGTGAGTACCTAGCAAGGGTGTGAGTTTAGTGTCTTCCACTGTCCCTGAAGGACGCCCACTGATTACCAATCGTGAGTATTGCTAGGGAAGAAATGAAAGACAGGAGGGTGCAGAACGCTCACTTAAGCATTTACTGTTGAGCCCTGAAGCAGCTCGCCGCTGGGCTCCAGTTCTAGCTGCCTTTGGATTCGGGGTGATGAACTAGAAAGTTCGCGTTGGTAAAATGACAGCTGAACTCATTCTTGTTTTTTGCACTTCCTCCTACTCATGAGCTTTTCTGAGCCTTGAAACTTCCCTGAGAAAGCTACAGAGCCACATAGTAAAACGTACATAGGCATAGTGTGTCTTGTAGAGCAAGCACTTTCAGGCCATTAACCCACCTGTATATTCAAGGTATTATCGTTACCGTCCCTATTTTGAAGAGGTGAAAAAGGAGGTCAAGTAACTTGCCCAAAGAGACAAAGCCAGTAGTAAGCGACAGAGCAGGAATAACCCCAGTCAACGTGGCCCAGCATCCTCTACAGAGCAGCAAGCAGGGCAGCCTTTTCAGGAAGACTCCCTGGGACATCCCCCCACTCACCCACTCCCACCCCCACCCGGCACCCCCCACCCCCACCTTGCTTCTTCTTTGCAGGTCCGCATAGGGCTCCTCTGCTGCAGATCTAAGGACCTTTGGGATGAGTTAGATAAACATTTGTTGGGGTGGCAGGCTCTCCTGTGTTCTGGGGGATGGGGGGTGGTTAACAGCATCTCTAGCCCCTATAAGGTGCCAGTAACAACTTGGATACAACCACCTACCTGCAGTCAAGTTGGGACAACTTTTGGAAAAAAAATTTCCAGGTATTTCCCAAAGTCCCCTGGGAAACAAACTCCTTCTCAGCTGAGTAAGATTTTTCAGTGCTGATTCTGGGGAGAGGAGGAGGGGGCGGAGGAGAAACCCTTGGTTTGGCTTCAGCTCCTTAAAGGTGAGCCTGACTTTGTTCAACTTACAGGAAAAAGTCTTTCATCAGGGTCTGCCACGGTATTAAGGGATTTTGAAGTTCAAACAGAGCAACCCTCAAACCAGGTTCGTAGAATGTATGGTTGCAAGTTTCAATTTCCTTCCCATGATAAAAATGTAAGCAGATGCAATTTGCCCCAATCACATTTTCCTTGAATGCTGGAGGGTTGTGTTTTGTTAGAAAGCCAGCTCAAGGCAGACCAAGTGCTATGTGGAGATGAGATTAACAGTTCTTTAGCAGCAGGCAAAGTGAGCTCTAGAAGATCCACTTTCAAAGTGCCACCAAGTTAAATTAAAAGCTGAAAGGGACCCCCTCCCGAAACCAAAGAATATTAACCTGAAGAATCTGTGTGAAGATTCTGCACTGCTGCACTTTGCAAGATGTGAAGTGGGATTGTTTCACGGTGTCAGGTTCATGGGCTGGTGTGCTGATGATCTGCTCCACATGCTTGGAAATGTCAAGTGGTCGGCATTTTGGGATCTGCCCCAAGTCCAGGTTTAATTAGCTCCAGACTCCACACCTTCGGGGGGGGGGGGGGGGAGGCACTTACAGAGAAGGGAAGGCACACATTGGAAAAAAAAAAGGTGTGCCTACGGGCTAGTTATTTCCCAATGTTTCACTGAAATTTACAGAAAAAAAAAAAACACCTATAGCTGACACATACAGATTTCTAATTAAAAACACACAAAAAAGGGAGCTGAGGATGTAGGTAGGCTAGTTGGTAGAGTGCCTGCTTAGTATGCATGAAGTCTTGGGTTTGATCCCCAGCATGGATAAACCAGGTGTGGTGATGCATGACTGTAATCCCAGCACTGGGAGAAGGGATAGATGCAGTAGGATGATCAAGCACTCTTGGTCTTTCTCAGCAACATAATGAGCTTGAGAACCTGTCTCAAACAGTAATAAAGTACAGATTCTTTTTCACTGGAACACTATCATGATTGTATGACCTGGAAAACTATATGCCTCTTAAATGGTGCTTACTGTATCGGTAACAATGACCACTGATCTAATGAATAATTCATTCATTGTATATTAACTTTATATGCTTCAGAACTTGGCTTGGCTTGCACTTTTTTATGCCCTTTAGGTATCGAGACTATTTAGATGCCCTGGACCTACTGTGTCTACAATAGTAAATATGATGGTGACCCTGTACCTAAAATGTAGCCAGTCCAAGGTGGGAAGTGGTGTAAATGAAAAATATTCATTGGGATCTCAGGATTTAGTATGGGGGAAAAAAGAATAGAAACGAGCTCACTGATCATTTTTTTTTATTGGTTACATGTTGAGATGGTAACAATGTAGATACAGTACACTGGATAAAATATGCTACTGAAATTAATTTTACTCATTTATTTCTCATTTTAAAAACTACCACAAAATCAGACAGGCCACATGCGGTTATCATATTTTCAGTAGGCAATCCTGGTCAAAAAGATTTGCTTAGAACTCTAGCTCCAACACTCCAGTCCTTTGGGCACATAAGATGAATGTATTATTAACATTGCTATTCTTGGAAGCAAATTTCTACTTGGAATATATTTCTGTTACACATCTTTCCCCAATTTAATTCAAGTAAAAGTAATGTGTGAGAGGAAGGGACATCTGGGTTCACACCAAGGGGGCTGCTTCCTGCTAACCACGGGTTACACGGAGAGTTGAAACTTCTCAGAACCCTAGTAGGGAAGTGTCTCCAAAATAACTAACCTGCAAACTTGAGATGTATCGCCTTACACTTCTGGAAGCCAGAAGATCAAAATGAGTATTACAGGGCTACAATGGTGGTGTTGGGAGCGCTAGTCCTTTCTAGAGGCTCCAAAGGAGAATCTACCTCTTGTTCTTTGAGCTTCTTGGCTGGTGAAAATAATTCCCATCTTTTCCCCCTGTATCACCTTGCCTTCTCTCTTCTTTGTCTCCCTCCTATTAGGAAAACCCTCTGTGATTGTAGGAAGCCCATATGGACAATCCAGGAAAATCTCAAAATGCTTTGACCACACTTGTAAAGTCTCTTCATCATGATCTAGGGAGTTGTGTAAGACAAATTTTTCATCCTCCCAATATTCCCACCATCTTCTCTCAGGAGCAATCTCAGTGCAGGAAGATAGGGAGGTACCCCTGGGATGCTCCAGAAGGGAAGAGGGAAAGAACAATAGAAAGGGATCCGACAGGAAAGGAAGGACAATGACAAAAATAGAAACAGAAAAAGTACTTGAATGTCAAGAAATGAGGCTGGGCACTAGTGATCTGGCTCAGCAGGTAAAAGCACTTGCTGTGCAAGCCTCTGGACCTGAGTTCAATCCCCAAAGCCCACATAAATGTGGAAGGGGAGAAACAACTCCACAGAGTTGTCCTCTGATCCCCACACCCGCACCACGGTAAGGTGCCCCCACATGCATCGTCCACATACAGACACACACACACAATATCACTAAATTTAAAGTTCAGGGGGGACAAAGAGTACAGGAAGCTCTCTGTGTACAGTGATACACCCGCTTGTCACTGAGCTGGTGGGACAGGAAACCTCTTAGGATCGTGATCTCCGCTAACAACTTCTAGAACACAAATCCTTCTGGAGACAAAGGAAGCAAAGCAGACATGTGTCCTAAGGTGATATGGGTTTTATGGTAAACCGAATTATAAAAGGATCTGGGGTTGACTCACTCAGAATCTCACTGTAAACAAATGTCAGCCTTCACGTTCATGGTGTCACCCACAAATAGTTACATCTTTCTACCACATACAGGTTTTGTCCAAAAGGATCAGTAGTACTGATTAGTTCTGTTAGATAATTTACCAGGTCCCAGTGTATTGGTTTCGATAACTAAAATGTTTTAGGGCTGGGGACATGGCTCAGGGGGTAAAGTGCTTGCTGCACAAACATTAGGACCTGAGTTGGCCCCCCAGCATCCTCATAAAAGCTGGGGTACAGTGGTGCGTGTCTGTAATCCCAACGCTGGAGAGGCTGAAAAGAAAGGATCTCTTGGACTTGCTGGTCAGCCAGCCTAGCTGAATCTGTGACTTCCAGGTTTAGTGAAAGACTCTGTCTTTAAAAAAAATCATAATGTACAGAGTGACTGAAGAAGCCATCCACCATTGGCTTCTGGCCTCCACACATGTAAACACATATACACATATATACCACACAGAGAGAGTAACTGTTTTAAATCTCCAGATTGTAATGATGAAAACAAATTCCAGAAGGAGTTAAAATTAATTTGGTCCAATTCGACAACATTAACTGAACACTGGCATGCTCAAACATTCTCCTGAATGCCAGAGATACATATCTGTCTACCACCCCCACTGGAGCACTTGGTAGGGCCAGAAAAAAATGTCTTTGTTTCTTTGTCAGCCTGAAGAGAACAAATACATCTAAAAAAAAAAAAAAAAAGACCAAGGAAAAGGGATGAAAAGGCAAATAATATTTCTTGCACATAAACAATAAGTAAACAATTTCAGAGGAACAGATGTGTATATATTATACCATTTATTTATATTGTGTATACACAATATACAAAATTATATGTATGAATATACATATATACATATATGCATGTAACAACAACTAATGAAAAGAGAGGCCCTGAATTTAAAAGAGAGCAAGTAGTGACATGTAGGAGGACTGAAAGAGAGGAAAGGGAAATGAGAAATGATATTATTATATTGTAATCCCCCAAAAATAAAAACGTAATTAAAAAAATAAA